CTAGACAGTGCTATGACAGTTTAGAAAAGTCGTGTCTCTTTGGAGTATTTAAGTTAGGTGAGATGACATGAATGATAGATTATGCTGGTGAAAATCATTCTGGGAGAAGTGAAATCCTCTCAACACAGCCTTCATTGTTTGCTTAAGCTAATCTCTGGGCTCAGGCACAGAGTGCAACCTCAAAATGCTCATCATCAGTCCTTGCTTTCCCTGCACGACTGCATAATTCACAAAGCAATGTGGCTCCTTACCTGGAGCAGAGCTGAGGCTGATTCCCATGAGAAACTGCCCAGGGGGACAGTGGCAGGGATGAGGAGGGACAGTGACTGCTGGCCAGGAGGTGACAAAGTGCTGAGGAGGCACTAAGGCTAATTACAAGGCAAGAAGCTCCGTGCCCCCACTTCATTCCTTTCCCTCCCCACACTCACAGTGAGCTATTTTGTTTGCAAGCAGAGAGAACTCTGCTTTCTGCTCCCTCACAGTGGCTTCCAAAAGCTTTTAATGAGCGTTCTCCCTGGCTTCTGCTCTGCCATCAGCCCAGTCAGGGAAGTCTCAATGACAGCATCCCTCCCCCAGCCTGCTCAGGACAGGTCCAGGGGTCACATCTGTAGGGCCAGCACCTGGCAGCCCTCAGCTGCAGCCCTTACCTGTCCTCTCAATTTTCCTCTAAGTCCCACATGATGGCTTTGCTGTTTGGAACTGGAAGATCTCAAATGACTGCATTGACATRACCTAAAACTCCTCCCCTTTGCTGGGATGTTCAGATGGGGTGTGCRCTCACCAAACAAGCAAACGTGGACACATAGCCTGTTGTTCTTGCTCTGAGAGCACAAATAGCTTTATTTCTTGCTTTGTTGACTTTGTACACRCACCACTAGGGGACGTTTTGTCATCACGTATCAGTCGCTACACAAGTACGCTTTTCCTTAGTGGMTCATGCTCCCTTTTCAAGTCTTGGTGCACATCTAGACCATGGAGTGGATGTCTGAATTTCACAGGGCTTGTGGATGACCCAGGCTCACTGAAGTTGGGAAAGAGAGAAGTATTTATTTCCCCCCCTTTCTCCAAAGGAGACCATCTATCAACATTCCTTATGAAGCGAGGCAGCTGGTTATTTCACAGCTTGCTAGAGCAGCACAAGAAAGCCGAGAGCTGACTCTCGTTTTAGCATTAAGTGCCGAATACAGACACTGCTGGTGGTTTTGTGAAGAGAGAAGTAATATACAGCCACTGCAAACCAAATTGGAATGAATATCACTAGCAGTGATGTGTGTTAAGTATTTTCTGAAAAAAAAACAAACCAAAAACGAGAATGTCTTTTAGACTAAATAGTTGAAATCAACAGGCAAAACTCAAATTTCACTCCTATTTTCCATTCTCATCTCATTTGTCTGAGGATAAGGGGCTGTCTTAACCCAAGTCACCACCTACCCACCCATTGATATGCTTTTTTCGCTTCTCTCCAATGCAGACAGAGCAGCTGGTGACTCTTTGGATTCTCTTCATTGTCACAATTGCTGGAAATGGCACCGTGCTCTTCTCTACCTGGAGGAGGAAGCGGAAATCTCGAATGACCTACTTTGTTACTCAGCTGGCAATCACAGGTAGGGAGGGGAGGAGAAAAGGCRCCTGTATGGAGGGGAAAAGGCACCTGATCTGCACAGGAATTACTACCAAAATGACAAATAAGAAAATGCGAGTTGAGTGGTAAAGAATTCAATTGCCACCTAATGTCCAGTTGCAGTTTGCCATAAGGCAAATGGATGGCTGCTTATCTCAGGGCTCAGTCTGATCTAAAACATGTTGCTCGATGTAGAAGTGTCTGTGTCAGAATGCAGCAGCTGCAACTCACTGATGTCACTAAATCTTACCTTCCAGCCTGAGCTTGCATCCATATTTCCCAGCAGCGATGTCTCCAGCTGTTGTCATGGAACTGCTCAAATTAAACTAGTTTAAGATGAATCTCTTGTGTTTTCCTACTGAAACTACTTCATCAATTATGCTCTTGSAGTGAAGAGTGAATATAACTTCATGTTGTCCATTTAAACGAAGTACGGGAAATATAACAATGTAAAGGTGGAGAGGAATGCATTTAGATTTTTTTTTTTTAAATAGAAGAAAGGATCCTGATCCAAGGACTCAGTTTTTAAMCAGAATGTAAAATGTACAGAAGCCTGGTTTGTAAAATGTTGATCTCAGCAAGAAGGAAAGGAAATGAACATAAGCAGCACATTGTTTCCCTGTGGTCTTGAATGGACTACATTTGTGGGGGTTTAAGCTTCCCAAGGGAAAATATGTGCTGTTTCTATAAYAGTGTCCTGCTACTAATCCCTGCTTACAAGACATCTGTGTGGTACTGTTTGTGTATTTAGGATATATTTATATGCTTTTTGTTGCCTTTTTTTTTTCTTTTTCCTAAACTGTGTTAGGAATTACAGCAATTTTTCACTAAAGATCCATTTAATACATAATTTCCCAGCAGTACTGCATCCCCCCTTTCATATCTGTTGTACCTTTGTTTAGACTGGAAAAACACTGCCCAATTTTCAACATAAATTGAACAACAAAAAGGACTACACTGCCCAATTTTCAACATAAATTTTTGTAAATAAATGAACTCCTGCTCATACTCTCAACCACATCTGCCCAGGAGCATGTCCAGTATGAAGAACTATTCTCAGCTGAAACAGATAGACCAGGGTGTGATGCAAAGAGGCAGGCCTGTGATGTTACAGACCTACAGGTGATGTAAGAATTCCTGCAAGGTGAGGAGGTGAAGTTTTGCAGTGACTCTTCTGARGTGTTGACAGCTGGTTTTCCTATTTGCCTGAGTCATCTGTGATAAATGGCTTTACTTCTTATCTCAGTCATGACCTTTATGTCACTTCCTTTGTGTGCCAGTGGTATTTTCCATCAGGTAAGGCAGGTCAATACAGCTTCACCTCACAGCTTGGAAGCATCAGTCACAGATGGAGCAKTACAGTGTTCACAGGAGTTTCAAAACAGTTTCTGCTCAAAGAGTTCCCAGCCCCAGATAGAWGGAATGTGCTCAGGCAACCAGACAGCAGAACAGGCAAAGGGCAGAAGAGCAGAGGAAGCCCCAGATGGACACCATCCATTTTTTACTTACTGTCAGCTGTTCTGGGAGGAGGTTACTGCTGTTGCTGTGCTGGATAAGAGTCTGARTGGAAATGTTGCCTTTTTGGACCCATAGAAAGAGGGCATTTTATGTTAGGTTGAAGGAGCATGGAGAGCYGTTCATTAGGGGTTTAAATACTACATGAAGGGAGAGGAAGGCATTGCAAATGTAGTTTTGAGGGAGCTGAAATAATCAGTGGCAAACATAACAAGGCAAATACACCATTAGATGTGGACAGCAAATAGTGTTATACACATGATGTTATAATTTCACTGAGGTCCATGTGTTCCACTTGCTGATTCTTCTGGCTTTCCCTTCCCAAGAATTATCCCTGACTTTTCAAACTGCCTGAGTTCAACAGTCTGTTCCATTTCATATTACAAAAATTCACATAGAAAACTCTCTTGACATTCACATCTGCAATGTCAAAAGAAGTAACTCTGGCTTGAACAGCAAGGCTCCTTTCAAGCCATGTTAACTTCTTTTTTGTGATGCAGGAGTCAGAACTCTAATTTATCTTCCTGCACCGAGACTGCTTGTCAGTATTTTGGCACAAGGTAATGACTTAATTCCTGAAATGGAGCCATTTCACTTTCTTATCTTTAAAAATATTATTAAGAACAAAGCAAGCTGGCAACAGCCATCATTCTTTCACAACAAGTTATGAGGTAGATGCAGAACATTATGAAAACACTGACTTGTCACATTGCTTTGACATGCCAGGCATATTTAAATCCTACTAACTAAAGCCTAATCTCCTGGCAAACAGTTTCTGCTTAGTCAATATTACAACTTCCATCTATTTTGAGGTTCTTAAAATATTTATTATTTCTGCCCCAGTAGCAGAAAGAAGAATAATGGATATAGCTTTATCAATGCAGGCATTTCAAAGCCATTTAAAAACTTTTTTGTCTATTGATCTGTGGCTTGTAAGTTGAGCAGTGCCCTCAGTTCTCACATTTTTCCCACCAGTGCAGTAGCAAAACAAAATTAAAATACAGCCTCGTGTTAGAATAAACAAGGTATTCAAAGCAAAATTGTGCATAATACATGAATAGCAAGTGAGCACTGTTGCTCTTCTTGACCRGTTGCCAAGCCAGATGCAGATGAGAAATAACTGATTGAGGCTTCTTTCAATGCTGACAGAATTCAGTGGTTCAGCCCACTCAGCTGATCTAGAGAAGACTCTTACTGACCCCTMACTTCATCATAATTCAACGTGATGCTCAAGGTTGCAGTAATCTGTAGGGATGTGAGTAATCCCTTCAACTTTAGAATGCTTAAGGATGTTGCTGAAGCCTGGATTCACAATATTTAGCATTAACTATACAATGCTTGTGTCAGTACCATATTCAAGTCCATGTCTAACTCTCAGTTCATGCATAAATCTCTTTGAAATTATCTGGGAATTAAGCACTTGGAAATCAGCTAAGAGTTAACAGCTGAGCTGAACAATAGTACTAATTACTCAGCATCAGCTAATTTAACTAAGAGGAATATTGCCATATTTGCCTTGTGTTCAATTTGCCTTTGGGCGTATTTCTCTTCTGTAAAAATGTTTCTCTCAGAAACAAGTTTGTCTGTGCAGACTGAAACTAAAGCTAGGTTTCCTACAGATTTCTGTCTCCAAGGTAATTTAGTTTCTCAGAAAGAGCAAGCTCTGAAGATTACCCTGTGAGAAGGGTATTTCTAAACACTTTTCCCCAAATAGATTTCTTCTGAGTTTCACACAGGTTATGCTCATGGCACAGCTATCTCTCCAGGCAGGAAATCTCTCACATCTTCCCCCACCTGATGCCATTTCACATAACTTCAGAGTCTTAGTGTCTTTAAGATGTTTGCTTCCAGCTGAAGTCACCAAGTGGTTCAAGATCAAAGAGTGGGATGAGTTCACAGGCACTGTATAAGCCCTGGGAATATTGACAGGAAATGTTGTTTTCAGAAAAGATGGTTTGTCCACACATTTGTATCCGTATAGATCAGTTTGCCCAGCTCTACCAAATGAAGGCCTTCTTAAGTTCACTCTCAAAATGCAAAAGCAGTGGACATGAGCATATCAAACTTCATTATTTGAGTAGTAGTGGATAAGGAATGTTGTTTATGGGATAAAGAGTTAATTSAGTAAGAACTGTTAATATCTGACCAATTCTAAAACTAATCAAGCAATTCTTTAAAAAATCTGCTGAAAAATTTTGCTTCTCATTATTCTCCATTCAGCTTCAACTAAACTGCTACTGATGGAGGAACACATTTAAGTTCCTTTTAATGACCCAAACTAGGTAGTTTATTTAGATCTTTCTCTCCAACATTATCATCTGGAATGCTGGAACTTGAAATGTCATTACCTTTAGCTCAGTGTGTTTCTCTTTCTATTCCACCATTTAGYAGAGATCAGCACTTTAGGAACAGTGTTATATTTGGACCATTGTTAGTGGTAGAAATACATGTAGGCACTTTACTGCATGCCAAATTTTAAACCATAGTCTGCCAGTCTTGTTTGGAAATATGTGCTTACATAGGTATTGCTGTGGCTGTAATGAAGAGAGAAAAATAGAACATCACCTAACTTCTGTGGTAGCTTGCATATAAAAGAAGAAAACAAAAGATGTTYTGTAAACATATGTAGCTACAGTCTATATTATGGTATAAACACCAAATCCTARGAGATGATTTGAGAATAACATTAAAAAGACAAGGAGGTAATTTAAAAAGAGATACAAAGATATTTGTATCATTGCCACCTTCTTCAGTCGCTCCCAGAATGCTGTAGACCTTGGTCCTTATCAGCTKCACTGATTTTGTTCCGTGTTTGGTAAAAAGCCACTACACAGAGAATGCTATGAGAGGACAATGCAAGCACAGAGGTGGAAATGGACCCTGCTAAAACAAAATGTTTCTTTCTGTGCCACTCCTGCCCAGCAACARCATATCTGTGAGACTGAAACCAACTGGGCTGCATCACTGATTTCTAGGATGACTTTGCATAAGGCAGACTGGAGGCAGAGACTACCAACTCATTTTCTGTTAAATACACTAAATGAGTTCATTTACCTGTGCAGCTAAACAACAGTTAAACATGAACAAAGGCATTAGATTTTGTCCTTCCTTTCTTCTTCTTTCTTTCCCTCTACATCAAAACCACTAGGGCCATGACTTCAYTAATGGACTGTGCCTGTGCTTCAGTAGTTTTCTTCCTTGTCTTTGTGACTTGAAGGAATGAAGATGACTTGTTGCTCCATGATCTGTAGAAAAATTTAATATAATAACACCATTACCAAAATTAACATGTAGAACATTATTAACAGATAATTGTCTCTGTTCCTGCTTTTCATCTGGAAAATGGTACTTGGAATATTTCTGCACTTCAGAGAAATCATACATATGAATTCATCAGTTTTACAAGCACCTTAGACATCACAGTGATTATGAGCATTGGAAGTTAATTGCACAGAGCCAATTAGCAGC